AAATAATAAACAAATAAAACAAAAATACAAAAGATAAATGAAACAAAAAGTTGGCATTTTGAAAAGTTAAACCAAACTGACAACCTTTATCTAGACTAACTAAGAAAAAAACAAAGATACAAACAAATAAAATCAGAAGAGAAAAAGGAGTCATTACAATTTATGCTGCAGAAATTCAAAGGATCATTAGAGGCTACTATGACCAATTATATGTCAATAAATTGGAAAGCCTAGAAGAAATGAACAAATTTCTGGGCACATAAAATCTACCAAGATTGAACCAGGAAGAACTCCAAAATCTGAAGCAATCAGTAATATGTAACAAGATTGAAGACCTAACAAAAAGTCTCCTAGAAAAGAAAAGCACAGAACCTGATGGCTTCACTGCTGAATCATGCCAAACATTTACAGAAGAAATAATGCCAATCCTACTCAAACTATTCTGAAAAATAGAGGACAAGAGAATACTTCCAAACTCATTTTTCAAGGCCAGAATTACCCTGATACCAAAACCAGACAAAAACACATGAAAAAAAAAAAAAACTACAAGTCAGTATCTCTGATGATTGCTGATGCAAAAATCCTCAACAAAATACTAAAACTGAATTCAACAATATATTAGAAAGATCACTCATCATGTTCAAGTGGGATTGACTCCTGGGATGCAAGGATCATCCAACACATGCAACTCAATTAATGTGATACATCATATCAACAACATAAAGGATAAAAACCATTTGATCATTTCAATTGATACTGAAAAAGCATTTGATAAAACTCAACATTCCTTCATGATAAAAACCCTAAAAAATTTTGTATAAAAGAAACATACTTTACCACAATAAAAGCCATATACAACAGACCCACAGCTAGTATCATGTTGAATGGAGAAAAACTGAAAGCTTTTCCTTTAAGATCTAGTACATGACAAGTATGCCTACTGTCACTGCTATATTCAGCATGGTACTGGAAGTCTTAAGTACAGTAATCAGATGAGAGAAAGAAATAAAAGGCATCCAAATTGGGAAGAAGTCAAATTATCCTTGTTTGCAGATAATACGATCTTATATTTGGAAAATCCTAAAGACTCCACCAAAAAACTATTCAGTAAAGTTGCGGGATACAAAACTAACATACACAAGTCAGCAGCATTTCTATATACTAACAGTGAACAATGTGAAAAAGAAATAAAAAATGTAATCCCATTTATAGTAGCCACAAATAAAATTTAATACCTAGGAATTAACGAAAGACCTGATAAATCTCTATAATGAAAACTATAAAACACTGATGAAAAAATTGAAGAAGACACCAAAAACTGGAAAGGTATTTTATGTTCATGAATTAGAAGACTCAATATTGTTAAAATGTCTATACTACCCAAAGGAATCTACAGATTCAATGCAATCCCTATCAAAATAATAATGACATTCTTCACAGAAATAGAAAAAAAATTTCTAAAATTTATGTGGAACCATAAACACCCAGAATAGCTAAAGAGCTAACCTAAGCAAAAAGAACAAAACTGGAAGAAAATCACATTACGTGATTTCAAATTATACACAGAGCTATAGTAACCAAAATAGAATGGTACTGGCAAAAAAACAAACCCATAGACCAATGGAGCAGAACAGAGAACCCAGGAACAAATCCTCACACCTACAGTGAACTCATTTTTGACAAAGGTGCCAAGAACATACACTGAGGGAAAGACAATCTCTTCAATAAATGGTGCTGAGAAAACTGGTTATCTATATGCAGAAGAATGAAACTAGGCCCCTATCTCTTGTCATACACAAAAATCAAATCAAGATGGATTAAAGACTTAAATCTAAGACTTCAAACTATCAAGCTACTACAAGAAAACAGTGGGAAAAATCTCCAGGACATTAATTTGGGCAAAATTTTTTTAAGCAAATCCCACGAGCACAGAAAATCAAAGTAAAAATGGATAAATGTGATCACATCAAGTTTAAAAGCTTCTGCATAGAAAGGAAACAATCAGCAAAGTGAAGAGATAATCCTCAGAATGGGAGAAAATATTGCAAACTCCAGCTGACAAAAGATTAATAATCAGAATATATAAGGAGTTTCCTAAATCTATAGGGAAAAAAATCAAATAATCCAATCAAAAAATGGGCAAAAGATTTGAACAGACATTTCTCAAAATAAGACATACAAATAGCAAACAGGCATATGAAAAAGTGCTCAACATCATTGATCATCATAGATGTGCAAATCAAAACTACAATGAGTTATCTTACCTCAGCTAAAATGGCTTATATCTAAAATAAAAGAAATAACAAAGCCTGGCGAAAAGGGAACCCTTGTACACTGTTAGTGGGAATGTAAATTAGCACAACTGCTATGGAGAACAGTTCAGGGGTTCCTTAAAAAACTAAATATTGAGCTACCATATGATCTAGCAATCCCACTGATGAATATATATCCAAAAGAAAGAAAATCAGTATATTGAAGAGATATCTGTACTCCTATGTTTGTTGCAGCACTGCTCACATTTGGAAGCAACTTAAGTGTCCATCAACAGATGAATGGATAAAGAAAATATGGTACTTATACACATGGAGTAATATTCAGCTGTTAAAAAGAATGAGATCCTGTCATTTGCAATAACATGGATGGAAATGAAGGTCATTATGTTAAGTGAAATAAGCCAGGCACAATAAAGACAAACATCACATGTTCTTACTTATTTGTGGAATCTAAAAATTAGAACACAATTGAACTCATGAACACAGAAAGCAGAAAGATGGTTACCAGAGGCTGGGTAGGATAGTGGGAGGGTTGGGGGTAGGGATGGCTAATGGATAGCAAAAAATTGAATGCATAGGACCTGCTATTTGATAGCAAAACAGGGGGACTATAGTCAATAATAACTTAATGGTATATATTTTAAAATAACTAAAAAAGTGGAATTGGATTGTTTGTAACACAAATAAAAAATGCTTGACAGAATTGATGCCCCATTTTCCATGATGTGATTATTTCACATTGCATGCCTGTATCAAAACATCTCATGTACTGCATAAGTAAATACACCTACTATGTACCCACAAAAGTTAAATATTAAAAAATTAAAAATAAATAAAAAGTGGGAAAAGGACATGAACAGACACTTTTCAAAAGAAGACATTTATGCAGCCAACAAGCATTTGAAAAAATGCTCAACATCACTAACCATTAGAGAAATGCAAATCAAAACCATAATGAGATACTATCTCATACCAGTCAGATAACTATTATTAAGTCAAAAAATAACAGATGCTGGCAAGGTTGTGTAGAAAAGGCAATGCTTATACACTGCCAGTGGGAATGTAAACTAGTTCAACCACTGTGGTAAGCAGTTAGGTGATTTCTCGGAGAACCTAAAACAGAATTACCATTTGACCCAGCAGTCTCATTATTGGGTAGATATCCAAAGAAATATAAATTGTTCTGTCATAAAGATATATATGCATGTGTGTGTTAATCACAGCACTCTTCACAATAGCAATTCAACCTAAATGCCCCTCAGTGGTAGACTGGATAAAGAAAATATAGTACATATATACCACGGAAGACTATGCAGCCAGAAAAAGAATGAAATCATGTTCTTTTCAGCAACATGGATGGAGCTGGAGGCCACTATCCTAAGCAAACTAATGCAGGCATAGAAAATCAAATACCACATGTTATTACTTATAAGTGGAAGCTAAAGAATGAGTACATATGTGCATGAAGAAAGAAAGAACAGATACTGAGGCCTACTTGAGGGTGGAGGATTGGAGGAGGTTGAGGATTGAAAACTATTTATCAGGTACTATGCTTATTACATGAGTCACGAAATAATTTATACACCAAACCCCTACAACACATAATTTACCTATATAGCAAAACTGCATATGTACCCCTGAACCTAAAATAAAAATTAAAAAAAAAAAAAGATAGTGAATACCAAAAAAAAAAAAAAAAGACTCTGGTATTTACACTAGACAGAAGAGGGAACTATTTTTCCCTTAAAACTATAGTATTTTCTTTCCTTTTTTCTTTTCTTCTTCTTATTCTGTTGTTTTGTTTTGTTTTTGTTTGTTTGTTTGTTGTTGTTGTTGTTGTTTTGAGACAGGGCTCACTCTATCAACTAGGCTAGAGTACAGTGACACCATCTTGGCTCACCGCAACCTCCATCTCCCAGGTTCAAGTGATTCTCATGCCTCAGCCTCCAGAGTAACTGGGACTACAGGCACACACCACCATGCCTGGCTAGTTTTTGTATCTTCATTTAGCAGAGACAGGGTTCCACCATGTTGGCCAGGCTGCTCACAAATGCCTCAGCCTCCCAAAGTGCTGGGATTACAGGTGTAAGCCACCACGCCCAGTCTAGCCTATTGTCTTTTCTAGTTGTGCTATACATTAGAGATGTAAAGGCATTAGAAAATAATGCTAGTGTTAAATAAGTTTAAAACCATCTCAAAAGCCTTTTTAGGGTTTTTCCAAGAGATCTAGAGCAGATATGTCATTATATATCTCCATTAAACTGAAAATTCTTACTTTCAGGTAGAGATGAAAATCCTGAATTGACCAAATTGCTCATAAACTCTTCTAAATTCACTGTCCCATCCTCTGAAAGAAAATGCAAACCAGAGGACATAGAAAAATAAATAATCACATATAAGAAACAGGCAACTATAATATAATTGCTATATTGAGAAATAATTTATAGATATGGCTTTGAAATTGAGATATATATTCAATCAAAAAGACAGGTGCATACATATCATTCAGACACATGTATGTATACTCATCCTCCATAGATTTTTCTGCTGCATGCTGCTACTGAAAATAACTAGAACACAACTGACAATAACTAGAACCCAGATGAATGCAGAGGTACAAGAAAGCCTTGATAATCTATGAATCAGAAAACCTCTTCAGAATTCTTGAAACACTCAGAATCATGTTATCTAAGATAAAGGATACCTAGAAATATATTAAATACTCACCACTGAGAGCCACATTGTTCAGTGTTCTTTGAATCACATCTTGGGGTAATGGAACTCCTACATTTTCCATTATGAGGCCTAGGTCATCAGGGTTAGCTACATTTTTCTTAATGAAAGCCAGAACTTTCAAGGAGTCTTCTGTTTCTATGGCAAAAAAAAAAAAAAAAATCCACAATACAGGAAAACTTCTTAAACACTCAAATATTATTAGTAGGTCCTGAAAGATAGTAATAACTACTGCTACTACTACCTAATGAGTACTATCTGAGCTTGCCAGGCACAAGCAAGCTCATCTCAGAGATTATATGTATCATCTCATTTAATCCCACAAAAGCTCTGTGAAGTCAGTACCAATATTTCCCTATTTAAGAGACAAGAAAACCTAGCCTGAAAGAGGCTATTCTGGCCTAGCATGGTGGCTCATGCCTACAATCCCAGCACTTTAGGGGGCCAAGGTGGGTGGATCACCTGAGGTTGGGAGTTTGAGATCAGCCTGGTCAACATGGTGAAACTCCGTCTCTACTAAAAATACAAAAATTAGCCAGCTATGGTGGCAGGCATCTGTAATTCCAGTTACTTGGGAGGCTGAGGCAGGAGAATCACTTGAACCCAGAGGTGGAGGTTGCAATGAGCCAGCCCGAGCCATTACACTCCACTCTGTGCAACAAGAGTGAAACACTGACTAAAAAAAAAAAAAAAAAAAAGAGGCTAAGAGGCTATCCTGCCTAAGAATCCATAGATACTAAGTATGAAATCAAGTCTGAAGTCCAGGGTATCTGATGTTACAGGCAGAATGTTTAACCATTATGCTAACCAAGCCATTGCAGATATTTAAATCTGAAATTTAAGAATGATTACATAAAAAGAAAACTCAGAAACTCTGCTTATTCTCTTCTCTATCATATCTGAGGCTGAGAATTCTATTAAAGATATGATAACTATCTTAAATTAATTATTTTACCTAAAATAGGTAGTCATAATTTAATATGACTATTATCAATTTTTTTAATTTAGAGGATTACTTACATCCATCAACACATATATACAAAAATGTCCCCCAAATAATGGAAAGCTTGGGACGAACATTTAACTACCAAAAAAGATAATATTTAATTTGGAAAGTACCATGGGTAAATTATTCTTCCAAGTAAAAAAAAATGTTAAGCATTATATTATGATGAACACCATTTTATCATAAAGATTAACCCAGTAAGAGTTTAAGCTTATGAACCACATAACTAGGGAAGTCTTATAGGCCCCAATTAGAAAACCAAGGATTAAGGAAAAACTATTTCATCCACTGAAAACACTTAATATCTTAAACAATTTCATTTTGTAGCTACCTAAATTGGGTCTTTTGAATTCAGTTTTGTTTCAATTTAGAAAACATTTAGAAAGAGTTTAGAAAACATTAAGCATTTAAACTCTTCTTAAAAACACTGGCTGCTCCAAGGAGACTCAGGGAATCCAAAATAGTTGTGAATTTGCTAATTAAATTAGCCAAAGCTTTAAAGAGACCCAGAGGTTCGACAGACTTTTTTTTTATGTTGAGGATGCCAGTTAATTAAATATATTAAAAACAGATTACATACAATCCCTTATGGCTGGGTAGTGGAGTACTGAAAGAATACCATAAAGGAAGTGTATATGTTTCAGCATGTTCCTATATGTTTCTAAATGTTTCCACAGTGAATTGTCTCATGTTAAAATCTCATTTTTTAAAAAAAATATATATTGTATTGCATTTTAGGTTTTGGGGTACATGTGAAGAACATGCAGGATTATTGCATAGGTACATACATGGCAATGTTGTTTGCTACCTTCCTCCCCATCACCTATAGCTGGCATTTCTCCCCATGTTATCCCTCCCCAACATCTTCTGGTACACCAATCAGGCGTAGATTAGGTCTTTTGATGTAATCCCATATTTCTTGAAGGCTTTGTTCATTTCTTTCACTCTTTGTTCTCTTTTCTTGCCTTCTCATTTTATTTCATTGATTTGATCTTCAATCTCTGATATCCTTTCTTCTGCTTGATCTATTTGGCTATTGAAACTTGTGTATGCTTCATAAAGTTCTTATACTGTTTTTTTCAGCTCCATCAAGTCATTTATGTTCTTCTCTAAGCTGGTTATTCTAGTTAGTTATCCCTCCCCAACTCCCCACACTCCACTGTTCCTCCCCTAGTTCCCCCCAACAGACCTCACTGTGTGATGTTTAAAAGATCAACAAAATAGACAGACGACTAGCCAGATTAATAAAAAAGAAAAGAGAGAAGAAACAAATAGATGCAATAAAAAACGATAAAGGGGATATCACCACAGATTCCACAGAAATGCAAACTACTATCAGAGATTACTACAAACAACTCTATGCACATAAACCAGTAAATCTGGAAGAAATGGATAAATTCCTGGACACATGCACCCTCCCAGGCCTAAACCAGGAAGAAGTCTAAACCCTGAATAGACCAATAACAAGGGTTGAAGTTGAGGCAGCAATTAATAGCTTACCAACCAAAAAATGCCCAGGTCCAGATGGGTTCACAGCCGAATTCTACGAGACATACAAAGAGAAGCTGATACCACTCCTTCTGAAACTATTCCAAACAATCCAAAAAGAGGGAATCCTCCCCAAATCATTTTATGAGACCAACATCATCCTGACACCAAAACCCGGCAGAGGCTCAAAAAGAAAAGAAAACTTCAGGCCAATATCCATCATGAACACAGATTCAAAAATCCTCAATAAAATACTGGCAAACCGATTGCAACAGCACATCCAAAAGCTTATCCATCACCAACAAGTAGGCTTCATCCCGGGGATGCAAGGCTGGTTCAACATACACAATTCTATAAACGTAATTCACCACTTAAACAGAACCAAAGACAAAAACCACATGATTATCTCAATAGATGCAGAGAAGGTCTTTGACAAAATTCAACAGTGCTTTATGCTAAAAACTCTCAATAAATTAGGTATTGCTGGAACGTATCTCAAAATAATAAAAGCTATTTATGACAAACCCACAGTCAATATCATACAGAATGGGCAAAAACTTGAGGCATTCCCTTTGAAATCTGGCACTAGATAAGGATGCCCTCTCTCACCACTCCTATTCAATATAGTATTGGAAGTTCTAGCCAAAGCAATCAGGCAAGAAAAAGAAATAAAAGCATATTCAATTAGGAAAGGAGGAAGTCAAATTGTCTCTATTTGCAGATGACATGACTGCATATTTAGAAGACCCTATTGTCTCAGCCCCAAATATCCTTAAACTGATAAGCAAGTTCAGCAAAGTCTCAGGATACAAAATCAATGTGCGAAAATCACGAGCATTCCTATACATCAATAACAGACTTAAAGAGAGCCAAATCAAGAACTACCATTCACTATTGCTACAAAGAGAATAAAATACCTAGGAATACAACTAACAAAGGATTTGAAGGACCTCTTCAAAGAGAACTACAAACCACTGCTCAAGGAAATAAGAGAGGACACAAACAGATGGAGAAACATTCCATACTCATGGTTAGGAAGAAATAATACTGTGAAAATGGCCATATTGCCCAAAGTAATTTATAGATTCAATGCTATCCCCATCAAGCTACCAATGACCTTCACAGAACTGGAAAAAATCACCTTAAACTTCATATGGAACCAAAAGAGAGCCTGCATAGTCAAGTCAATTCTAAGCAAAAAGAAGAAAGCAGGAGGCATCACGCTACCGGACTTCAAACTATACTACAAGGCTGCAGTAATCAAAACAGCATGGTACTGCTACCAAAACAGAGATGTAGACCAATGGAACAGAACAGAGGCCTCGGAGGCAATGCCACACATCTACAATCATCTGATCTTTGACATACCTCACAAAAACAAGCAATGTGGAAAGGATTCCCTGTTTAATGAATGGTGATGGGAAAACTGGCTAGCCATGTGCAGAAAGCAGAAACTGGACCCCTTCTTGACACCTTACACTAAAATTAACTCCAGATAGATTAAAGACTTAAACATAAGACCTAACACCATAAAAACCTTAGAAGAACGCCTAGGCAAAACCATTCAGGACATAGGCATAGGCAAGGACTTCATGATTAAAAAACCAAAAGCATTGGCAACAAAAGCCAAAATAGATCTAATTAAATTCCAGAGCTTCTGCACAGCAAAAGAAACAGTCATTAGAGTGAACTAGCAACCAACAGAATGGGAAAAAATTTTTGTAAGCTACACATCTGACAAAGGACTTATATCCAAAATCTACAAAGAACTAAAACAGATTTACAAGAAAAAACCAAACAAGCCCATTCAAAAGTGGGTGTAGGATATGAACAGACACTTTTCAAAAGAAGACATATATGAGGCCAACAAACATATGAAAAAATGCTCATCATCCCTGGTCATTAGAGAAATGCAAATCAAAACTACATTGAGATACCATCTCACGCCAGTTAGAATGGCGAACATTAAAAAATCTGGAGACCACAGATGCTGGAGAGGATATGGAGAAATAGGAACACTTTTACACTGTTGGTGGGAGTGTAAATTAGTTCAACAATTGTGGAAGACAGTGTGGCGATTCCTCAAGGACCTAGAAAGAGAAATTCCATTTGACCCAGCAATCCCATTACTGGGTATATATCCAAAGGATTATAAATTGTTCTGTTATAAAGACATATGCACACGAATGTTCATCGCAGCACTGTTTACAATAGCAAGACTTGGAACCAACCCAAATGCCCATGAATGATAGATTGGACAAGGAAAATGTGGCACATATACACCAATGGAATACTATTCAGCCATAAAAAACGATGAGTCTGTGACCTTTGTAGGGACATGGATGAACTTGGAAACCATCATTCTCAGCAAACTGATACAAGAACAGAAAATAAAACACCATGTTTTCACTCATAGGCGGGTGCTGAAGAATAAGAACACATGGACACAGGGAGGGGAGCATCACACATTGAAGTTTGTAGAGGGGACTAGGGGAAGGACAGTAGTGGGTAGCGAGTTGGGGAGGGATAACATGGAGAGAAATGCCAGAGATAGGTGATGGGGATGGAGGCAGCAAACCACATTTCTATGTATGTACCTATGCAACAATCCTGCATTTTCTTTACATGTACCCTACAACCTAAAATGCAATATATATATATATATATAAAATTCTCACTCACTTGAACCTTCAGTAAAATACAGCATTTGCATCAACTGATTCAGGCAATCTTTTAAGTTCACTTTCTCCTCTTCTGAAAATGGAACATAAAGGAATAAATAACATTTGATCAAAAGATACAAAGCAATAGCATTAGAAGATAAACATGCCTACTTAATCTTTAAGGCTAAAATGTTTTTCTAACTCTGATTCTGCTATACATATCTCAGAATAACTATGAAAAGGAATATGATTATGATGACTCTTGTGGTCATTTTTGTTATAATGTCAATGCACATTTTATGGATTTTATACACGCCTTAACCAGCTGGGACAACTGTTTTGGTATGTTTCCTCTCTCATATTATATGATCTTGTCAGTATTACAAGTCCTATAACTGCCTATATTTCATGGAAGACAGTTTATCTGCCAGAAAATGTCTTATAAACCAAACTCAACCATAATATCTAAAGAAGACTATGCTTATAAGCAAAGATATATTAGTAAAGGAAGTGTGCGATATTTAGCTTTCTACCAGGCATATGCTTGGGACTTAGAAAGAAAAAGAACAGTTCAAGGCTCTGCATGTAAACTAAACATTCCATTGGCAGGATTCTAAAAACCCCAGCATAACCCTTTGAGAATTCTAGGGAAATCCAACTGATTGTGTGCATCAGCACACTAAGGATTAGGTCTTTGTTTAATGGGCTTGAAATAGCTTCACAGCTTCTGACCAGTAAGAACCTGCGATTCAAATCTCAGGAGGCAAACAAATAGGATAAAGAGAGGCGTATTATATTTTCCTAGGATACTCAATCTGAAGATAATCTAGAACAAATTCTCATTCAGCCCTAAAAGCAAAAATCTAGTGTTGTACTCATTACATTTGATTCCTAATCACTTAAGCTCTTTGGATTATGAGTGAAAGTAAACACAAGCTTTCTGTGTTTAATAAATGACTCAGAAGTACAGCTCTTTTAGAATTTGTCTAGCAGGCTGTCTGCGTTTTGCCAGAAAGCACTTAAAATTTTTTCAAAAAATAAATAAATGACTCAGAAGAGGAAATACATACTATCCACACAAATGGATCCAAGCACCTCCTGTAATTCTTCCTCTGGAAAATAAATCCCCAGGCCTTTCAGTACAGAATTAACATCATCAGCATCAAGTTTTTCATTGGTGACTTTGTCTAAGGCCTTTGCAAGTTTGTTAACCTCTATCAAGAGAAAATAGAAAATATTTTCAGTTTAGCTACAGTCACATTCTAAATAATAAAACTACAGCTCAAAAATTAGCATAGATACCTGACATCTTTAATTTAAAGATGATATATCACAGTGCAATCCTTAAATACTCAGGGGAGGAATCATTCAAAACTTCATCATCAAAAAATAATCCTTGATAATACTTTTGGTATGTGCCCTTACAGCATTTTTATGTTTTAATGATATTTATTTAATACTCTTTAATGGCAAGCTTTGTTTCACTTAGCAAGGTATCGTGACCATGTTCCCTTTCAACATACTATTCTACCAGCATCATTTTAAATGATTGTATAGTATTCCACTGCATGAATATATCCTATCTTTCTAAACCAAAATTTAATTGTTATCATAAATGGAATCCTGATGATAAATTTTCTTAAACATGCATCTGTTCACTAAGGGTTTTTTCTTAACATAAATTTCTGAAGTTAAATGGGGTGCACATTTTCAAGGCCTTTGAGATGTATTGCCAAATAATGAAAGAAAATGGCCACTTTACCATATCCTTTCTAACTTCAACTTATTCTTTCTTCTTTTCTTATTCTTTTGAAAGAGTTTCTAAATGACAATACCAATTCTTCCCTCCAATACCTCCCCCCAAAAAACATTCCTTTAGGAATCAAATTACATTTATAAATTAATGTTGAGAAGTGGCCTTAGTAAAATATGTGAAATCCATCAATAAAATGTTTCTCCATTTATTCAAATCATCTTTTTCAGCTATCAGCTCTATGACAACGACTTTCAAATGTTTCTATCACTGAACTCATCCAAATTTTAGTTCATGTTTGTTTCCTACCTAAATGTTACTCTTTCTTCTTCTGCATCTTCCTTCAAAGCTTTCCTCCAATTTTTCCTAAGACTTTCACTTTCACCTGAACTCCTAAAATAATGTGTAACCACTCATTTGATCTTTTGGTATATTAGTTATATTTTTTGTAAATGGCTTATTTTTCCAGCTGGAGTTTAATATCCTTGTGGTCTACTCCTATACCATGCATATTTGTATTAAATATATGTATACTAATCATATTAACTTGTGATTACAGTATAAGATCAATTTTCAACTAAACTAGCAAACTATAATACATTAAAAAGAAAATCCCTGAACTTGGAGTCTAATATTTTCTGTGGGATCCTGGGTAAGGTACAGTCTCTTTAAGCTTCACTTTTCTCATTCTTGATTATAAGAAACCTACTTAACAGAGTAGTCATGAAGAATAAACTATGTGAAATAAATTATATGAAAGTGTTTGGTAAAACATCAAATACTATACAAATGTGTTATTATTTGCTAACAAAATAATATGATATTATTTGAAACCAAACAAAATAAAACACATCTTTAGGAGATTATAATGTAAAACTATAGATATTTTTGCCCTGAAATCCTTTTTTAGACTAAAATAAGAGTAGGAGAATGGTTTTGGTAAGTCCATAAATCATTAGGCTATTAACTTATTAAGCGAATTTGAGATTTTCAAAATTATACTCAAAAGTTAGGGATATATTTCACAGAGTAGAGCCATCACATGATGCCATGAAATGTATCTTGGTGCCATAGTCAAGAAGACAACACCAAGTTGGATGAATCAATGATTCCAGTAAGTTAACATATATATCTCCATATGAAAAATTCATGGAGCAGCTGCCAAGATGGCTGAATGGAAATAGCTCTGCTCTGTGGCTCCCACCAAGAAGGATGAAAATGGAGAGTGAATTCTGCATCTTCATTTGAGGTACTAAGGTTCTCTTATTGGTACTGACTACGTGGTTGGTGCAACCCATGGGAAGCAAGGAAAAGCAGGGTGGAGTGAGGGCCCACCTGGGAGTTTCACAGGGGAAAATGGAGTTCCCTCTCCCAGCTGAGAAAGGCAGTGAGGGAATGTGCTACTCCTCCCCTGAAAACCATGCTTTTCCTACAGATCCTTGCAACCTGCAAATCAGGAGGTCCCCTCGTGAGCCCAAGCCACAAGGGACTTGAGTCCCAAGCACAGAGCTGTGCAGACTCACAGCAGCTGCTCAGGCAGCAAGCACTGACAAGCGTTTCCACATACTGGGAACTCTGGTGAGGCAGTAGATCTGTCATCCAAGTGGCCTCACTCAGTGGGCTCCACTCCCATGGAACCCCACAAGCTAAAGCCCACTGGCTTGGAATCCCTGCCAGCCAATGCAACAGGCTGGAGACCACCTAAGAGCACCAAGTTCTGAGGTGGAGGAGGAGCAGCCATCACCACTGCAGCTCCAGTTGGCCATTTTCCCCTGCCACAGGTGCCAGCAAGACTGGGCAATTTGGATGGGAGCAATTCCCCACCGTGCAGCACAGTGGCTGGATCAGTTCATGGTCAGACTACTTCTTTAAGCAGGACCCCAAGCCACTCCTCTTCACCAGTGGGGGACCTCCCTGCAGGAATTTCAACATCCCCAGCCAGGAGTTTATGGACAGGATTCTGATACATCCCTTAGAGGAGCCCCTAGGAGGAGGGACAGCTATAGTATTGTACATCAGTGGTCTTTAGTCTTTTCTGCCTACTGACTCTGGAGAGTCAGGGCAGTCTGAACAAGGGAGATCCCCTGCAGTGCAGCACACCCACTCCACCAATGGGCAGCCGGACTCCTTATTTAAGCAGACGCCTGAACGCACTCTTCCTGACTGGGTGAGACCTCCTAACAGGAGTCTCCAGACACCTCATAGGGGAGAGTTCCCACTGGCATTAGTTTGGTGCCTCTCTGGGACAGAGCTACCAGAGGAAGGAGGAGGCTGCCATCATCACTGTTCTGCAGCCTCCACTGGTGATACCTCCAGGGGCAGGAAGGACCCAGGCAAATAAGGTCTGGAGTGGATGCCCAGCAAACCACAGCAGCCCTATGGAAGAGGGTCCTGACTACTAAAAGAAAAACAAACAGAAAGCAACAATAACAACCACAACATCAATGAAAAAGTCTCCACGAAAACCCCAACCAAGGTCAGCAGCCTCAAAGATCAAAAGTAGATAAACCTATGAAGATAAGAAAGAATCATTGCAAAAAGGCTGAAAACTCAAAAAGCCAGAGTGCCTCTTCTCCTCCAAATGACCACAACACTTCTCAAACAAGGGCACAGAACTGGTCTGAGGTTAAGATGGATGAATTGACAGAAGTAGGCTTCAGAAGATGGGTAAAAACAAACTTTGCTGAGATAAAGGAGTATGTTCTAACTCATTGCAAAGAAGTTAAGAACCATGATAAAAACATTACAGGAGATGTTAACCAGAATAACCAGTTGAGAGAGAAACATAAATGACCTGATGGAGTTGAAAACACAACACGAGAACTTCACAATGCAAATGCAAGTATTAATAGCCAAACAGAACAAGTGAAAGAAAAGATATTAGAGCTTGAAAACTATTTTGCTAAAACAGGGCATGCAGACAAGATTAGAGAAAACAAAATGAAAAGGAATGAACAAAACCTCTGAGAACTATGAGATGATGTTAAAGGACTGAACCTACAACTGATTGAAGTACCTGAAAGAAGCCAGGGAGAACAGAACCAAGTTGGAAAACACACTTTAGAATATCATCCAGGAGAATTTCCCCAACATAGCAAGACAGGCCAACATTCAAGCTTAAGAATACAGAGAACTCCAGTAAGATGCTTCATGAGAAGATTAACTCCAAGGCATATAATCATCAGATTCTCCAAAGTAGAAATGAAGAAAACATTGTTAAGGGCAGCCAGAAAGAAAGGTGGTTACTCGCAAAGGGAAGCCCATCAGACTAACAGCTGATCTCTCTGTAGAAACCAGATCAAACACCACATGTTCTCACTCATAGGTGGGTGTTGAACAATGAGAACACATGGACACAGGGAGGGGAGCACTACACACTGGGGTCGGTTGGGGGGAAATAGAGGAGGGACGGTGGGGGGTGGTGAGCTGGGGAGAGATAGCAAGGAGAGAAATGCCAGATGTAGGTGATGGGGAGGAAGGCAGCAAATCACACTGCCACGTGTGTACCTATGCAACAATTTTGCATGTTCTTCACATGTACCCCAAAACCTAAAATGCAATAAAATAAATAAATGGGGGAAAAAAAAGAAACTCTACAAGCCAGAAGAGAGTGGGGGCCAATATTTGACATTCTTAAAGAAAATAATTTTCAACCCAGAATTTCATATCCAGCCAAACTAAGCTTCATAAGTGAAGGAAAATCTTTTTCAGACAAGCAAGTGCTGAAGAATCTGTCACTACTAGGCCTGCTTTGCAAGAGCTCCTGAAGCACACACTAATATATATGGAAAGGAAAAAACCATTATGAGCCACTACAAAAACACACTGAAGTACACAGACGAATGATACTATGAAGCAACTACATAAACAGGTCTGCAAAATAACAAGCTAGTGTCATGATGACAAGATCAAATTAACACTTAACAATATTAATCTGAAATGTAAATGGGCTAAATGATCCAATTAAAATACATAGAATGGCAAGCTAGATAAAGACTCAAGATCCATCAGTGTGCTGTATTCAAGAGACCCATCTCACATGCAAAGACACAAATAGACTCAAAAAAAAGGATGAAGTAAAATTTACCAAGCAAATGAAAAACAGAAAAAAAGCAAGGGATGCAATCCTAGTTTCTGATAAAACAGACTTTAAACCAACAAAGATCAAAAAAGACAAAGAAGGGTACATAATGGTAAAGGGTTCAATTCAACAAGAAGACATAACTATCCTAAATATATATGTACCCAATAAAGGAGCACCCAGATTTATAAAATAAATTCTTAGAGACCTACAAAGATATACAGACTCCCACACAATAACAGTGGGAGACTTTAATATCCCCTTGTCAACATTAGACCATCAAGGGATTAAATTAACAAAGATATTCAGGGCTTGAATTCAGCTCTGGATCAAGTGGACCTGATAAATATCTACAGAACTCTCCAGGCAAAACAAACAGAATATACATTCTTCTCGGCACCACATGACATGTACTCTAAAATTGACCACATAATTGGAAGTAAATCATTCCTCAGCAAATGTAAAAGAACTGAAATCACAATAAACAGTCTCTCAGACCACAGCACAATCAAATTAGAACTCAAGATGAACAAACTCACTCAAAATCACACCACTACATGGAAATTGAACAACCTGCTCCTGAATGACTCCTGGGTAAATAATAAAATTAAGGCAGAAATCAAGAAATTCTTTGAAATTCTTTCATTTTTTATATTTTTTTCAATATATAAAAAAAGTATATATTTTATACTTTTATAAAAATATAAATATAAAATTATTTATATTTCATGCATGCTGGGCTTCATACCTAGGTGATAGGTTGATAGGTGCAGCAAACAACCATGGCACATGTTCATCTATGTAACAAACCTGCTCATCCTGCACATGTACCATGGAAATTAAAATATAAATAAATTTTTTTGAGACAGAGTCTTGCTCTGTTGCCCAGGCTGGAGTGCAGTGGCACAATCTTGGCTCACTGCAACCTCCACCTCCCAGATTCAAGTGATTCTCGTACCTTGGCCTCCTGAGTAGTTGGGACCACAGGTGCCAGCCACCACACCCAGCTAATTTTTTATTAAAAACGGGGTTTCACCATGTTGGCCAGAGCTGGTCTTGAACTCCTGACCTCAAATGATCTACCCACCTTGGCCTCCCAAAGCACTGAGATTACAGGTGTGAACAACTGCAACTGGTCCACAATTAAATACTTTAAAAAAAAAAAAGAACATACGATTATCCAGCCCTAAAAACTAATTAAAAAAAAAAAAAGAAACATTCACATATTCTGTATACAGCTATTAAAAATCTAAGAAAGCTCTTTGTGCCCTGAATTAAACAAATATCCAAAATATATTGTTATTGTTTAATGAAAAATATCAAGGACACAGTATGCTTGTATTTGTGTAAAATTAACATGGAGGAAAAATGCATATTCATATTTACTTCAGTGTTCATAAAAATCTCCAAATGCAGCCAAGTAATCCCAGCAATTTGAGAGGCTAAGGTTGGCAGATTGTTTGAGCCCAGGATTACGAGACCAGCCTGGGCAACATGGCAAAGCCCCATCTCTACAAAAAATAAAACAATTAGCTGGGCATGGTGGTGCATACTTGTGGTTACATTTACTCAGGAAGCTGAGGCAGGCGGATGCGTGAGGCTAGGAGGTTGATATTGCAGTGAGCTATGATCACACCACTGCACTCCAGCCTGGAAGACAGAGAAAGACCATTCCCCTAACCCACCCCCAAAAATCTCCAAATACTGCCTACATAACAAACTAAATACAATGGTTAGTTATTGGGAGAAAGAGGTAGGAATTGGAAAGAGACTAGATCAGAGGGAGATTTTAACTGTAGATCTCTATGCACTTACTAATTTATGATATGTATAAATGTATTACCAAATCAGAAATTTTTAATTTATTAAAACATTTTTAAAGGCAGATATTTTTGCCATCCTTTTTGGAAGACGCATTGTTTTCTTCAGCTATGAATGAATAACTAATATTAAAAACTAGTCTTAAATGAACATAGGACTCTCACCTTCATGTGAACTCTTAAAATACTAAATGTGTACCATTCATCTGACCTTATAGCATATTAGTTAGATTTTTATGGAAGTGGCCCATTACTTTCAACAATTACAGTAAACATTTTCTGTATTCTCCAGGTATAGAAAATTTCCTAATTATTCTCACCTCTGAAATCTTGTAAACGCCTATTGCTTTTCAATGCGAAAAGTGCACTCTTTAGGGAAGTGTCTCCCTTTTCTGTAAAGAGAAAAACAGAACAAAGATATATTAATAGATTCAAGAAACATAAAAGACTTACATAGTGAGCTAACTTGGTTCACTTATTACCCCTCAAAGAATGATTTTCTACCCTGTACATTTTTGCCCAAAATGCAGTATACTCTCTACCTATCCAAATCCTTCCTATTCATAACAAAACTAGCTCATAAGTAAAAGCCTTCCCTTGATCCTATACTTCTATTACTCTATCCCTTTCCTTTCCTTTGTAACTTAATTTTTGGGAAAAAAGTGTTTTTATTTATCATATCCTCACTCACATCTCAAACTATTGCTATTTTGACTTCCACCTCCACTGAGATTGTACTCACAAGTTCACCAGTTAACTATTTATTGCCAAATGATAAGCATTTTTAACTTTTTGTCTTATTTAACTCTTCAAACTCTTTCCTTTGTTTTGTTGCTACAGCTTTCTCTTAGTTTCCGTCCTACCATTCTGGTTATTTCTTTTTTTTCTTCTTTTTTTAATCCCTCCTCCTCCTTCCTCCTCCCTTCTCCCTCCTCCCTCATCCTCCTCCTCCCTCCTTCCTCCCCCCCTCCTCCTCCTCCCCCTCCTCTTCTTCTTACTCCTTTTTTTTTATTATACTTTTAAGTTCTGGGGTACATGTGCAGAACATGTAGTTTTGTTACATAGTTATACACGTGCCATGGTGGTTTGCTGCATCCATCACCCTGTCATCTACATTAGGTATTTCTCCTAATGCTATCCCTTCCTTAGCCCCTCCCAAACCCATGGCAGGCACCAGTGTGTGATGTTCCCATGTTCTCATTGTTCAACACCAATTTATGAGTGAAAACATGCAGTGTTTGATTTCCTGTTCTTGTGTTAGTTTGCTGAGAATGATGGTTTCCAGCTTCATCTATGTCCCTGCAAAGAATATGAACTCATCCTTTTTTATGGCTGCATAGTATTCCATGGTGTATATGTCCCACATTTTGTTTACCCAGTCTATCACTGATGGGCATTTGGGTTAGTTCCAAGTCTTTGCTATTGTGAACAGTGCCACAATAGACATACATGTGCACATGTCTTTATAAAAGAATAATTTATAATCCTTTGGGTATATACCCAGTAATGGAATTGCTGAGTCAAATGGTATTTCTAGTTCTAGATCCTTAATGAATCACCACACTGCCTTCCACAATGGTTGAATTAATTTATACTCCTACCAACAGCGTAAAAGCATTCTTATTTCTCCACATCCTCTCCAGCATCTGTCGTCTCCTGACTTTTTAATGGTTGCCATTCTAACTGGTGTGAGATGGTATCTCACTGTGGTTTTGATTTGCATTTCTCTAATGACCAGTAATGGTGAACTTTTTTTCATGTTTGTTGGCTGCATAAATGTCTCCTTTTGAGAAGTGTCTGTTCATATTCTTTGCCCACTTTTTGATGAGGTTGTTTTTTTCTTGTAAATTTGTTTAAGTTCTTTGTAGATTCTGGATATTAGCCCTTTGTCAGATGGGTAGATTGCAAAATTTTTCTCCCATTCTTGTAGGTTGCCTGTTTACTCTGATGATAATTTCTTTTGCTGTGCAGAAGCTCTTTAGTTTAATTAGATCCCATTTGTCTATTTTGGCTTTTGTTGCCATTACGTTTGATGTTCAGTCATAAAGTCTTTGCCCATGTCTATGTCCTCAATGGTATTGCCTAGGTTTTCTTCTAGGGGTTTTATGGTGTTAGGTCTTATGTTTAAAATCTTTAATTCATCTTGAGTTAATTTGTGTATAAGGTGTAAGGAAGGGATCCAGTTTCATCTTTCTGCATATGGCTAGCCAGTTTTCCCAACACCATTTATTAAATAAAGAATCCTTTCCCCACTGCTTGTTTTTGTCAGGTTTGTCAAAGATCAGATGGTCGTAGATGTGTGGCATTATTTCTGAGGCCTCTGTTCTGTTCCATTGGTCTACATCTCTGTTTTGGTACCTGTACTATGCTGTTTTGATTACTGTAGCCTTGTAGTATAGTTTGAAGTCAGGTAGTATGATGCCTCCAGCCTTGTTTTGTTTGTTTTGTTTTGTTTTGTTTTACTTAGGATTGTCTTGGCCATGTGGGCTCTTTTTTGGTTCCGTATGAAATTTAAAATAGTTTTTTTGTGATGGAGTCTCGCTCTGTCACCCAGGTTGGAGGGGAGTGGCACAATCTCAGCTCACTGCAACCTCTGCCTCCTGTGATTCTCCTGCCTCAGTGATTCTCCTGCCTCAGCCTCCTGAATAGCTGGGATTACAGGCGCACACCACCATGCCTAGCTAATTTTTGTATTTTTAGTAGAGATGGGGTTTCACCATGTTAGTCAGGCTGGTCTCTAACTCCTGACCTTGTGATCTTCCCACCTCAGCCTCCCAAAGTGCTGGGATTACAGGTGTGAACCACCGCACCTGGCCTGTTTCTTCTTAATGTCCTTTATAAACCACTCTTTCTCTATCATTGCTTAAATATTAGCATGCCTCTATATGTACCTATGCAACAATTCTGCAAGATCTGCACATGTACCCCAGAACTTAAAGTACAATAAAAAAAAAAATTAGCATGCCTGATTTCTCTCTCCTTAGCCCTCTTCTTAATATGATCTATAAACTTTCCCTAAACTCTCCCCTAACTATGAACTGTATGTTGATGATTCCCAAGTTTCGATTTCCAGGCTAGACCACTGTTCACTACACATCTTCAACTCTATGTCCATAAGCACCTCAAACACGATACTTCTTAAGCTGAACTCCTCATCTTTGCATCTAAACCGGATCATCCTCCTGTATTCCCTATTTTAGTATAAAGCATTGCCATGAAATCAGTCTCCCAAGCCAGAAATGTACTACTCATCCTCAATCCCTGTCCCTCTCCCTACCCTAACTTTATCAAACAATGATGAAGTTCTGCTTCCTCAACCTCATATCTGTCCCTTTCTTTTCAACACTAGAGCCAAGCCTTAGTTAACACTCCTAATTTTTAACCTACATTACTGTTTGCTTTCTATATCTCCCTGCTTCCAATCTCGCCTTTCTTAATACTGCTATCAGAATGCCTATTATAAAGAACAAAATTAATCACATAACTTTTCAATTTTGAATTCTTCAGTAAGTCTTTAGTCTTCAAGATAAAGTTCAAATAATTTTGCTCAGAAAAAAATCAAGTAAGAAAAACTATTGATCTTCTGTGGGCTACCTGGACACCTCATTTCTCTCTCTCTCTCTCTCTCTCTCTATACTACCATACACTCGCAAGTCAATGATCAAAGTTTAATTCACATCAAAATGAACTGTGAAGTTCATTTTGAAAAATACACACATACATGTGTATGAAAAAATACACACATACCCACATGCATAAGCATGTGCACGCGCGCGTGCACACACACACACACACACACCCCTTTGCCCTGACGCAAACATTCTAGACTACTTGGAGTTCTTGACTTCTCCATAAGCTTCCCTCTTATACACTTTGCACATACTAAGTATTCTCTCATAACCTCTTCCAGTCCCCTTCCCTGTACCCACAAGCTTGACTAATTCCTATTCATACAGGCATACCTCAGAGATATTGCAGTTTCAGTTTCAGACCACTGCAGTAAAGTAAATAGTACAATAAAACAAGTCACAAATTTTTTTGGTTCCCAGTGCGGTGCATATAAAAGTTATGTGTACACTTTATTCTACTAAATATGCAGTAGCATGATGTCTAAAACACTCAATGTACATACCTTAACTTAAAAATACTTCATTGCTAAAACAGGCTAGTAATCATCTGAGTCTTCAGTGAGTCAATCTTTTTGCTGGTAGAGGGTCTTGCCTTAATATTGATGAATGCTGACAGATCAGTGTAGTAGTTGCTGAAGATTGGGATGGCTGTGACAATTTCTTAAAATAAGACAACAATGAAATTTGCTGCATCGATTTTCTGTTCCCTTCATGGAAGATTTCTCTGTAGCATGCAATAATGTTTGACAGCACTTTACCCATAGCAGAACTTCCTTCAAATTAGAATCAATCCTTTCAAACCTTGCCACTGCTTTATCAATTAAGGTTATGTAATCTTCCAAATCCTTTGTTGTCATTTCAACAGTGTTCCCAGCATCTTCACCAGGTGTGTGGATTCCATCTCAGGAAACTACTTTCTTTGCTTACTTCTTATCCATTAAAGTTTTATCATGAAATTGCAGCAATTCAGTCACATATTTGGGATCCACTTCTAGTTCTAGTTCTCTTGCTATTTATATTACATATGCAGGTACTTTTTCTAATGAATTCTTAAAGTTATCATGAAGGCTAGAGCCAACAGCTTCCAAATTCCTGTTAATGTTGACATTTTGACCTCCTCCCACAAATCATGAATGTTCCTAATGGCTCTAGAATGAAGGGTCTCTTCCAGAAAGTTTTCATTTTATTTTGCCCAGATCCATCAGAGGAATCACTATCTGTGGCAGCGACAGCCTTAAAAAATGTATTTCTTAAATAACAAGACTTGAAAGTCAAAATTACTCCTTGGTACACGGGCCGCAGAATGTTGTGTTAGCAGGCACGAAAACAATATTCATCTCCTTGTACATCTCCATCAGAGCTCTTGGTGACTAGCTGCACTGTTAATGAGCAGTAATATTTTGAAAGTAATCTTTTTCTGAGCAGTAAGTCACAACAGTGGGCTTAAAATTTTCAGTAAATCATGCTGCAAACAATGTGCTGTCATCCAGGCTTTGTAATTCCATTTATAGAGCACAGACAGAGTAGATTTATCCTGTGCTAGTAGTATCTTAAGAACCCTTGGATTTTCAGACTGGTTAATGAAATTAATGAATGACTTCAACTTAAAGTCACTAGATGCATTAGCCCCTAACAAGATAGTCAGCCTGCCTTTGAAGCCATGACCCCAGGTACAAGAAAGAAGAAAAGAAGAAAAGAAGAAGAAAGAAGAAAGAAGAAGAAGAGGAGGAGGAGAAGGAGGAGGAGGAGGAGGAGAAGAAGAAGAGGGAGAAGGAGAAGGAAAAGGAGAAGGAGGAGAAGGAGAAGGAGAAGGAGAAGAAGGAGAAGAAGGAGGAGAAGGAGGAGGAGGAGGAGAAGGAGGAGAAGAAAGAAGAGGAAGAGGAAGAAGAAGAAGAATATTTAGAGGTCATTGTACAGTTATTAATTGGCTTAATTTCAATATTGTTGTGTCTCAAGGAATAGGGGGGCCCAAGAAGAGGGATAGAGAATGGAGGAATAGCTGGTCAGTGTAGCAGTTAGAACACACACTTTATCAACTAAGTTTGCCATCATATATGGGTGCAGTTCATGGTACTACCCCAAAACTAAATAGTAATATCAAAAATCATTGATCACAAGTCACTATAACAGACATATAAACAACTTAAAATTGTGAGAGTTACCAAAATGTGACAAAGAAACACAAAGTGATCACATACTGTTAGGAAAACGGTGCTAATAGACTTGCTTGAAATAGGGTTGCTGTAAACCTTCAATTTGTTTTAAAAAAAAATCTGCAAAGTACAATAAAGCAAAGTGCAATAAAACAAGGTACAACTGTATTTTAAAACTCCAACAGAATTTTCTCCAGAAGTCCTCTTCTCACTACCTTATCCAACTCTGTGTGGGTTAGGTATACTGTATATATTTCTAGAATACTCTATGTTTACCTCTACCACAGTATTTAGCTATTAGTATCCTCATTGTTTGTATCTCAGTAGTCTGTAAGCGCTTGAGAAATTATCTTTTATCTTTACATATTTAATTCCCAGCAAGCAATAGGTTCTGAATAAACTTTGAATGAATAAAACAGTTCTTCTCTAAACTCCTATTCAACTCAGTATCATCACTGTTTCTCTGGCAAGTATTCAAGAACTTCGACATAACACTGCACAATTCACTGAACTTTTATCTCCTATATGTTATATACCTTTTGTTGTATTTTTATTCATATTTTATATTTATGCTTTGCCTCACTAACTAGACTCAAAGTTTTCTAAATGTGAATATTTTCTATTTCTTTGAATACATTACATATTATATAGTTCCTGACAAATACAGGCACTCATGATCAAGTCTGTCACATATAACCACGAAGACTAGGTTGTACACCAAGGTGTACTGTTCACACAGAGACAATGTGCTCCTGAAGTTATGCCTTGCAATGACCCCAGCCAATAAAACTGATTAAGCAATGTCAAATCCATTTAATAATATAAGAAAGAAAATATTTTTCAGAAATGATTTTAATTTTTAAAAGTGCACATAACTGCCAAAATTTGAAACTTATATATTCTTTTCTCTGAAATCTCTGAAGATTTACACTCAACTTCATGTCAAAACTATCTCAGACAGAGGGGTGAACATCCTCCCTTAGTCTCCTTCTGTCTAACAGCAGTTTCACATTAGCACAGCCTCAGAGAATTACAGTAGTCCCTACTCATGTGCAGTTTCACTTTCCTCTCTTTCAGTTACCCACAGTCAAGCACAGTCTGAAATATGAAATGGAAAATTTCAGAAATAAACAATTTATAATTTTTAAATTGCACACTCTTCTGAGTAGTGTGATAAAATCCTATACCATCCCACCCTACCAATCTGTCCAGACCTGGACCTCAACTATCCCTTTGTCTAATGTATCCACATTGCATATACTACCTGCCTGTTAGTCACTTAGTAGTCATCCTGGTTATCAGATCAACTGTTGCAATACTGAAGTGCTTGCATTCAAGTAACCTTTCTTTTACTTAATAATGGCCCCAAAGTGCAAGAGTAGTGATGCTACTATATTGTTATAATTGTTCTACTTTATTGTTAATCTCTTACTATGCCTAATCTATAAATTAAACTTTATCATGGGTATGTGCATACGGGAAAAATACAGTATATTAGAGGGTTTGGTGCTATCCATGGTCTTAGGCATCTAGTGGAGGTCTTCAAGCACATCCCATGTGGGTAAGGGAGGACTACTGTATCTACTGCACTTCACCTTTTCTGATTTCTACAGTAAGTCCTAAAAACAAACATACCATGATGGAATCAACACAGGATACCCAATGGGGTTATAAAGTAAGGGCTTTAAAAAAATCATACTAACCTTATTCAATATTTTCTATCAAGATAAATTACAGAATGTTTTCCCATTAAAAGAATAAAGCAAAAAAAATATTAAGGAGTAATGAATGGAAAATAAGAAAGGGGAATTTAAAAATTGCTGTCATTTTATTAGAAAAATCAACTTATAGTGATTATATATACCATCAGCATCAAGTGTTTTCACTAACATCTGATGTTCTTCAGGCTTTAAGGAAATATTGAGGTCATCAAAAGCATTTTTCAAGTCACTAAGTTGAACTCTGTCACAGTTCATCAAGTTGACAGTATTGAGAGCTGCGTCTATATCTGAAAGCAAATGGAGATTCTGTAAGTTACTTAATACTTTCTGGAAATAATGTTTTTACTTTCTAAATTTCTGAACAACAATGTTCCTAAAATTTTAGACCACTATCCAAGCATATATCTCAATTAATATTATCTCTATGATTCTAAAATTAATAAATATTAGTCCCAAATTCCTTTATTCCAAGTATTTGCCTGAAATGGTCTCGGACGCAACGCAACATATCTACAACCATCTGATCTTTGACAAACCAGACAAAAACAAGCAATGGGGAAAGGATTCCCTGTTTAATAAACGGTGTTGGGAAAACTGGCTAGCCATGTGCAGAAAGCAGAAACTGGACCCCTCCCTGATGCCTTACACTAAAATTAACTCCAGATGGATTAAAGACTTAAACATAAGACCTAACACCATAAAAACCCTAAAAGAAAACTTAGGCAAAACCATTCAGACCATAGGCACAGGCAAGGGCTTCATGACTAAAACACTGAAAGCATTGGCAACAAAAGCCAAAATAGACAAATGGGATCTAATTAAACTTAAGAGCTTCTGTACAGCAAAAGAAACAACCATTAGAGCGAACAGGCAACAAACAGAATGGGAAAAAATTTTGCCATCTACCCATCTGACAAATGGCTCATATGCAGAATCTACAAAGAACTAAAACAGACTTACAAGAAAACAAACAAACCCATTCAAAAGTGGAAGAAGGGTATGAGCAGACACTTTTAAAAAGAAGACATATATGAGGCCAACAAACATATGAAAAAATGTTCATCATCCCTGGTCATTAGAGAAATGCAAATCAAAACCACATTGAGATACCACCTCACATCAGTTAGAATGGCGATCATTAAAAAATCTGGAGACAACAGATGCTGGAGAGAATGCTGAGAAATAGGAACACTTTTCCACTGTTGGTGGGAGTGTAAACTAGTTCAACCATTGTGGAAGACAGTGTGGCGACTCCTCAAGGAACTAGAAATAGAAATTCCATTTAATCCAGCAATCCCATTATTGGTTATATACCCAAAGGATTATAAATCATTCTATTATAAAGACACATGCACGTATATGTTCACTGCGGCACTGTTTACAATAGCAAAGACCTGGAACCAACCCGAATGGCCATCGATGATACACCGGACAAGGAAAATGTGGCATATATACACCATGGAATTATGCAGCCATAAAAAATGATGAGTTGTGTCCTTTGTAGGGACATGGATGAATCTGGAAACCATCATTCTCAGCAAACTGACACAAGAACAGAAAAGCAAACACCACAGGTTCTCACCCATATGCAGGTGTTGAACAATGAGAACACATGGACACAGGGAGGGGAGCATCACACACTGTGGTCTGTTTGGGGGGCTAGGGGAGGGAAAATTGCGATGGGGAGGTTTGGGAGGGATAACATGGGGAGAAATGCCAGATATAGATGACAGGGGGATGGAGGCGGCAAACCACATTGCCATGTATGTACCTATGCAATAATCCTGCATGATCTGCACATGAATCCCAGAACCTAAAATATAATTAAAAAAAAAAAAGAAAGAAAATGCAAAGTAGTACCACAATGAGATACTACTATATACTTCTTAGAATGGTTAAAATTTGAAAGACTGAATATATCAAGTATTAACAAGAGTCTGGAGAAACTGAAACTCTCATACATTGCTCCTGGGAATGTAAAATGGTAAATCCAGTTTAGAAAATAGCTCACTATACTCTTAAAATGTTAAACATGCATCTACCATGTGATTCAGTTAGCACACCCCTTGGCAATTGTCCAAAGAAATGAAAGCATATGTTTATACAACAACTTGATTGTGAATGTTTACAGAAGCTGTATTTGTAATAGGCAAAACCTGGAAACAACCTAATTTACCTATATCACCAGGAAAGTAGATAAACTGTAGTATATCTATAAAGTGAATTACTATTCAGCAATACAAGGAATGAACTACTTATGCACACTATAACATGGATACATTTCAAAATAATTATGCTGAGTGAAGAAAGCCAGCAAAAAAAAAAAAAAAAGAGCACATCCATTTACATAAAATTATTAGAAATGCAAAAACAAATTTCTAGTGAAGCAAAGCTTACCAGTGGTTGCCTGGGAATGTGGTAAATGTGGAGAAAGGCAAGAAAGATTATAAAGGGTATGAGAAAGTTTTAGGGGTAAGGGATATGCTTATTATCTTGATTGTAATGATCGTTGCATAGGTGCGTGCATATATCTACGCTTAATTAAATGTCCTTTTAAATATAAAAATATACAGTTTTATATCAATTATGCCTCATAATGCCATTTAAAAAATAATAACAAGAGGCAATGAAAACTATCTAAATATCTAAAATAAAATATTGATTGACCCACCTTCAAATACAGAAGCTGGCTTATTTATGTTCACATTCTCCAAAATTTTCTTGAGACTTACATTACTATTTTCTAAAAAGTAAAATACAAGGATTATGAAATGGCAAGGTATCAATGCTGATAATCATTAAATAACCATGACAAAGTGTAAGGATGGAAAATTTTGTAATTTCTGGAAATTAGCAGGATAAAAATCAATTAATTTAAAATAGTTTTACCCACAATCTGTTTTCTCAAAACAAGAAAGAAATTCTAACTAAAGGAATTTGCTTGGCTTAAATAATTAAATTTTGGTGCATAGATTTGATGCTAAATAGAGGATAACTCTTAAAAATATTTCTAGTAGGCTGGGCGCGGTGGCTCAAGCCTGTAATCCCAGCACTTTGGGAGGCCGAGGCGGGTGGATCATGAGGTCAAGAGATCGAGACCATCCTGGTCAACACAGTGAAACCCCGTCTCTACTAAAAATACAAAACATTAGCTGGGCATGGTGGCGCGTGCCTGTAATCCCAGCTACTCAGGAGGCTGAGGCAGGAGAATTGCCTGAACCCAGGAGGCGGAGGTTGCGGTGAGCCGAGATCGCGCCATTGCACTCCAGCCTGGGTAACGAGAGCGAAACTCCGTCCCCACAAAAAAAAAAAAAAAATATATATATATATATATATATATTTCTAGTAGAAAAATCTATGAATTTCAATTAGCTCTCAATGTGCCAATGTTCTCATCATATTTCTAAGACCCAGTTTACCCACTCATGTGTAAGAATAGCTTTTATCAAAAAGACAAAAGAAGAAGTGTAGGTGAGGAAGTGGTGAAAAGGGAACTCTTGTACAGTTATGGTGGGAATGTAAATGAGTACTACCATTATGAAAAACAGTATAGAAATTCCTTAAAAATTAAAAACAGAACTCCCATGTGATCCATAAATTTCACTTCCAAGTATATATCCAAAGGAAATGAAATCAGCATGTCAAAGAGATATCTGCACTCCCATGTTCATTGCAGCACTCCTCACAATAGCCAAGACAAAGAATCAACCTCAGTGCCCATTCATCAACAGATGAATAGATTTTTGAAAATGTGATGTCCATCTCTATGTTATAAATATATATGCACAATAGAATACTACTCAACCTTTTAAAAAAGAAGAAAATCCTGTCATTTGCAACAACATGGATGAACCTGGAGGACATTATGTTTTTTGAAACAAACCAGGCACAGAAAGACAAATACTGCATTATCTCACTCATATGTGGAATCTAAAAAAGTTGGAGTAATAGAAACAAAGTCTAGGGAATTTGAGGGGAGTCGGGAATTTGAGGGGAGATATTGGTTAAAAGAAACAAAGTTTCAGTTAGACAAGAGGAATAAGTTCTGGAGATTTATTTTAGTGCAAGGTGACTATAGTTCATAATGTACTGTATACTTGAAAACAGATAAAAGACTACATTTTATATGCTATCAAAAAATTATAATGATTTAAGGTAATGGATATGTTAATTAGCTTGATTTAATCATCCACAATGTTTACGTATTTCAAAACATCACATTGTACACCATAAATATTTTTTCATTTGCCAATTAAAAACTAAATACTTTTGGGCTGAGCGTGGTGGCTCACACCTGTAATCCCATCACTTTGGGAGGCTAAAGCGGGTAGATAGCTTGAGTTCAGGAGTTTGATGGCTTGAGCCCAGGAAGCCGAAGCTGCAGTGAGCCGTTATCACGCCACTGCACTCCAGTCTGGAAGACAGAGTGAGACTCTGTCTCAAAATAAATAAAAGTAAAAAATAAACACTTTTACTGATCAAAAAATAAAATATAGATATATACGACACCTATCCCAAGCACACAGCAAAACTAGGACTTCGGTAAGCTCAAAATAGATTGCTCTTTCAAAAAGTATTCACCATCAACAGATGCTTGTCTCAAGAGCTCTTGGAATGTCTTGTTGCTTATTGGAATGCCAGCACTCAAGAGTTTGGAGCTCAGCTCATTTACAGGCATTGTATCATTTCTGATACTATCAAGAGTTGTGATCTCTTTAAGTAAATCTGAAAATACAGGCAGAATAGAGAACAGATAATGAAGTTGGGGCAAAGCCCCTTTTAAGATATAAAAACCACAGCCTACTATAGAAGAAATTCTAAGTTAAAGAGCTTTTAAAACATAATTATGGGCTTTGTTTTTAGAAGTCAGTTAAATAATAAAAAATGTTTAGCATACCACTAGTCAAGTAAAAGTTGAGTTTCTGTAAATATTTTGTAAAGCTCACTTTTACAGTAACTACTATCCCTGAAAGGTGTTTCTGCTACAGGCTCTGGTCTTTCACAGACTGCAAAGCTTTTCAAGAACAGGTGTGTGGTAGCTCTTAGAACGAAGGCAAGAAGGTGAAATAGAAGCCAAATTGTTGGGGAAAGGAAAACACTAAAAAATATAAATTTGCTACAGACTGGAAAACAGTCATACACTATCCAAATACCAGAAAGTGTTTCTCTCTTATCTACCAACCAATTTTAAGAACACTAGATCTTTCTTTTACTTTCTTTAACACATTTCACTACAGGTGAGGAAAATAAGCATGTGGCTATTTATAAAGGTGAGAGAAAATTGTACTAGAGTAATGGGAAGGCTTTATGCTTTTACAATGAAGTGTAATACTGAGACAAATTATTGATTTTAAAGGAGGATATTCTAGGTATATAGTTCTAAATAATTCATTATACTCAAAGCATAAATTGAATATGATAAGGAATAAGAAAGCAGATTACATTTCAAATAAAGCAAAGAAAACTTAGGAAAGTGTTGCAAATACACAGAGAAACAAATTATATTTTAGAAAAGATAAGATCCCATTAAATGACCTAAGAAACTGGTTTCTAATTTTTATTCTTTTACTATACTTACTGTCGAATGGTGTTGATGGGTTAGGTGAATTAGTGAAAACATCAATTACATCTTTTAAGATCACATTTCTTTCTGCAAAGTTAAGAAATAAAGTAGGATTTAAATAAAGTAGATTTTAAATTCATTAAGGCAGAGATCTGGTATTATTTTAATATTATTTCATTCAGCTTTCAAACTCTAGTGATCAAAATGCATAGCAAGAAATACTTCTATATTGTGAGCACACACACAAACAGAAATATAAGTTTTATAAAGCAATACTCACCTTATCGTGGGTGATACACTCTAATAACTTCTAAAAAAATTTCAAGTTTTCCATTTCTTTTTAAAAATACTATTCAGGACCTATTAAATGTATTTCACAACTGACCCAGAGTTTTAAAAATAATAAACAAGTTATATAGTACAAATATATATACACAGTAATTTTCATTAAAGCATATAAATACTTGTAAAGAGTATAAGAGAATATATAGGACCACTCCCTGAAGAGATGTTTTATCCAACAAAGACAGCAAAGAAAGAAACCCAAAAAAGAAAGAAAAGAAATATTTTCCTTTGAAAAAAAAAATCTGGTGACAAAGAGGAAAAATTCAATTTTTTCTTTCTATCATTACTTCCTAATTGACATTGAAACAACAAACAAAAAACTATGCACAAAAGTAAATATATAAAACTAAGAATCCCCTTTCCAAGCAGCTAAAAACCCTCAGGAAACCTAACAGTCAAATGTCAATTTCTTCTAAATTATCCATAACATCACACATAAATATTTCTTGTTCTTTGAAATAACAGGGTTCAGGACATGCTACTCCAAAATATAACACTATGACAGAATTGGATATTTTAAGCTGAAGGAATCTGAGAAATATCAGGTGCAAGAACTCTGTGATCTTGCTTGTCTCCCCTGAAGCAGGTCATAATATCCTCATATGAGAGGTGCTCTTCTTATAAGAAAATGAGCATCCTTATCTCTGAAGATGGAGGGATGCTGAAAGGAATCAAAACAGGTCATACTACCCTTAGCTACTCTTAGCTCATATCCTTTTGTCCTCTGTTAGATTTTGCCATTTTCTACTCTTCATCCACTCTAACATAAAATCATCCAGATTTAACCACTTCTTCAGGATTTCATTTTCTTATGAGGGTTCTCATGTCACATAAATCTTATACTAACTAAACTTGTATGCTTTTATCTTGTAAATCTGTCTTTTGTTACAAAGCCTCAGCCAAAAACCCAGAAAGAGAGAAAGAAAAGATTTCTTCTCTACTCTTACTGGAGATGGCTTCAAAAATTATAAACTGTAGCCCACAGAATGAATACAATATGAAATTTAGTGATTTTTCACTGGCCTAAAGAGTTTCATAGTAGTTATTTTTAAATTTGAATTTCATTATCTTTCCATGGGATATACATTCTCAACTTATTCCACAATTCTTATTACTTCATCTTCTGCCAGCTTATTTTATTAATTTGTATTTCATGCCTAATTGCTAGAGACATAGGTGCCTTCAGTCTGGTTCAAATGTTATCCTTCTCTGGAAGTCTACTATAATTTATTTAAAATATCACTATTAGAGCTATAACACTGCACCTCTTGGATGGCAGGCTAATTTGACCCATCTTTCCCCGCCCTCCCATTCTAAGCAATTAGCTTGACCTTAAGTAGTATTTCCTCACTTCTGTGATTTTTGTAACCTTAATGTTTTTGTAGAGATTGCTTTTGCAAAAGCCGAAACCCCTTGAAGAAAATATACCAAATGCCTGAAGAGAGAGATTTTAGTAACTGAGAGAAAGGATTTCTTCTGAAAACAGAGAGAGAGAGAGATGATAATGATGATGGGAAAGAAAGAGAATTACTCTTCTTTGGAGAGAGGGAGAGAGAGGGAGACAGAGAGAGAGTGAGAGAGAGATCTGATTTAATTCAACTAAAAGAAAATAAAGTGACTGCAATTTCTGGTACTATAGCAGCTAGACACCTGGATTAAATCATTCTATTATAAAGACACATGCACACATACATTTATTGTGGCACTGCTCACAATAGCAAAGACTTGGAAACCACCCAAATGCCCATTAATGACAGATTGGATAAAGAAAATGTGACACATATACACCATGGGATACTATGCAGCCATAAAAAAGGATGCATTCATGTCCTTTGCAGTGACATGGATGAAGCTGGAAAACAACATTCTCAGCGAACTGACACAAGAACAGAAAATCAAACACTGCATGTTCTCACTCATAAGCAGGTGTTGAACAATGAGAACACATGGACACAAGAAGGGGAAGATCACACACCAGGCCTGTCGGTGGGAAGGGGGGCTAAGGGAAGGAAGACAGAGGGTAGGGGTTAGGGGAGGGATAGCATTAGGAGAAATACCTACTGTATATGACAGGGTGAATGGATGAAGCAAATCACCATGGCACATGTATACCTATGTAATGAACCTGCACGTTCTGCACATGTATCCCAGAACTTAAAGTATACTAATAAATAAAGTAAAATCAAATAAAATGACTTAAAGAATCAAAACAAAAAAAAAGAAAACAAATTTACAAGAAAAAACAACTCCATCAAAAGTAGGTGAAGGATATGAACAGACACTTCTTAAAAAAAAGACATTTATGCAGCCAACAAACATATGAAAGAAAGCTTATCATCACTGGTCATTAGAGAAATGCAAATCAAACCACAATAAGGTACCATCTCACACTAGTTAGAATGGCAATCATTAAAAAGTCAGGAAACAACAGATGCTGGAGAGTATGTGGAGAAATAGGAATGCTTTTACACTGTTGGTGGGCGTATAAATTAGTTCAACCATTGTGGAAGATAGTGTGGCGATTCCTCAAGGACCTAGAACCAGAAATACCATTTAACCCAGCAATTCCATTACTAGGTATATACCTAAAGGATTATAAATCATTCTACTATAAAGACACATGCACACATATGTTTACTGCAGCACTGTTCACAATAGCAAAGACTTGGAACCAACCCAAATGCCCATCAATGATAGACTGGATAAAGAAAATGTGGCATATACACACCATAGAATACTATGCAGCCATAAAAAAGGATGAGTCCATGTCCTTTTCAGGGATATGAATGAAACTGGAAGCCATCATTCTCAGCAAACTAACACAGGAACAGAAAACCAAACACCACTTTCTCACTCAGGTGGGAGTTGAACAATGAGAACACATGGACACAGGGAGGGGAACATCACATACTGGGGTCTGTTGGGGAGTGGGAGGCTAGGGTAGTGATAGCATTAGGAGAAATATCTAATGTGGATGATGGATTGATGGGTGCCACAAACCACCATGGCACATGTATACCTATGTAACAAACCTGCATGTTCTACATATGTATCCCAGAACTTAAAGTTCAATAAAAAAAACTATTCAAAGATTTAGACACAGAAAAAATACTTTTCAAATTATGAAGATAATGTGACATCAAATCCTGACAATACTAATGTAAACAAAGAAAATTACAAGTTAATTTCACAGATAGAGATGTATAAATCCTTTACAAAGTATTAGAAAAATGAACCCACCAATATGTAAAAAGGATAAGATATCACGACTAAAATGAATTTATTCTAAAAATTCAGGTTGCATTTAATATAAAAAATCAACTAATGTACCACATTAATTAAAAGAGAAAACGCACATGACTTATCTTAATAGATGAATAAAATTGTTTAAAAGTTTCATAATAAAACAAATAAACAAATATAAATGTAATCATTTATAAAACAAGAATTAAAAGGCAACTTCTTTAGCCTAGTGAATGGTAGTTACGAAAAACCCACAGCAAAGAATTAGTTTCATACTTGATGAAATGCTTATTCTTCTGAGAACAGGAATAAAACAAAGATGCCCATTATCAATATTTTTAGCTAAGATTATTTTGGAGGTCCTAGTCCCAGTAGCACAGAAAGATGAAGAAAAACAAAAACATAAAAGAAGTGCACATTATGAAAATTAACTTTAAGAAACAGCATATGATGATGAAATAGCAAACACAGTACTATAAAGATATATGTTCTCAGCAGAAACCTTATAAGCCAGAAGGGATTGAGGCCTTATCTTTAGCCTCCTTTAGCAGACAAAAAGAAATAATAAAGATCAGGGTAGCACTAAATGACATTGAAACCAAAAATATACAAAAGATCAATAAAACAAAAGTTGGATCTTTGGAAAGATAAACAAAATTGATAGACTATCAGCTAGATTAACCAAGAAAAGAGATTCAACCAAGCTCCATCAGAAATGAAAATGGAGACATTACAACCCACACCACAGAAATACAAAAGATCATTCGAGACTACTATGAACACTTCTATGCACACAAATTAGAAAATCCAAAGGAAATGCATAAATTTCTGGAAACATACAACACTCATTAATTAAATCAGAAAGAAATAGAAATCCTGAACAGACCAATAACAAGCAGTGAGACTGAATTGGTAATTCAAAAATTGCCAACAAAGAAAGTCCAGGGATTCACAGTGAATGCTACTGGGCATTTAAAGAATTGGTACCAATCCTACTAAACTATTCCATAAGATTAAGAGAGGGAATCCTCCTTCCAAACTCATTCTATGAAGACAGTATCACCCTAATACCAAAACCAGGAAAGAACATAACAAGAAAAGAAAACTACAGACCAATGACCCTGATAAACATAGATGCCAAAATCCTCAACAAAATAATAGCAAACCAAGTTCAACAGTACATCAAAAAGATAATACACACAAACAAGTTGATTTAATCCCAGGGATGCCGGGACGGTTTCAATAAATGTAATACAATAATACAGAAATCAATAAATGTAATACATCACATAAACAGCATTAAAAACAAAAACCATATGATTATCTCAATAGGTGCAGAAAAAGCATTTGATAAAATCCAGCACCCTTCTATGATACAAATCCTATCATAAACTAGGCATAGATCCAATCCAAAAAACCAGGCATAGAAGGGACATACTTCAAAATAATAAAAGTCATGTATGACAAACCCACAGCCAACATCATATTAAATGGGGAAA